ATATCATATTTCAGCTAGCAAATGCTCCTAATTAAAATTAAAGTACCCTGAAGGATAGAGTTTACTGTACGCATGAAGCGTGGTAGACCAATCGGTTCCAAAGGTACAAATCCTTGAAAAATAGATAAGGAGCTAATGATCAAAATGATCATAATGAGGAGGAAATGAGCTCTAGAAGAGCCCACGACATAACATTTCATGAAACTCCAGAAGAAGTTGAGGTACCTGAAAATAAAGAAAGTGATGAGATCTCAACAAGTTATGCCGCTTAGGAACCGATACAAAATGACCGTCGACGATATATTTGATTCAATATAGTGCACAATACTGTGAAATATTGTGAGGATCAGACCAGTAGTCCAGACACCTGAAGATGTCATGCCATTTAAATGCGAGTCATAACCTATATGACTCATTTGATTAAATCTCTATAAAGATCCCTGAAGGATTTAAAATGCCTGAAGCATATAGTTCAAAGTTTCGAGAAATGTACTCGATCAGATTATAAAGATCTTTGTACGGTTTAAATCAGTCTGGGCGCATGTGATATAATCGCATCAGTGAATATTTGCTCAAAGAAAGTTACATAAATGATGTTATTTGTCCATGTATTTTTATAAAGAAAATGTCATCAGAATTTGTTACACTTGCTGTTTACGTTGATGACATAAATCTTGTTGGAACTCCAGAAGAGCTCCAAAGGCAATTGAATATCTTAAGAAAGAATTTGAGATGAAAGATCTTGGAAAAATAAAAATTTATCTTGGTCTGCAAATTAAATATTTAGCAGACGAGATCTTTATCCATCAATTTGCCTATACAGAAAGGGTCTTTAAACGCTTTTACATGGACAAAGCGCACCCATTAAGTACATCAATGGGTGTTCGATCACTTGAAGTGAATAAATATCCGTTCCGACCTCCAGAAGAGGATGAGGAACTCCTTGGTCCTGAAATACTCCATCTCAGTGCAATTGCTATGCACTTATGTATCTTGCTAATGCTAACAAAGGTGGTGCAGATCGTATTGGTTATGCAGATACAAGATTAGAATGCAGAGACTCAAATATTTGAAACAAGGTTTTCATCAGGGGGAGTAAAATACGCGATGCACTTTTTTTTCCTTACTAAGGTTTTTTCCCACAGGGTTTTCCTTATAAGGTTTTTAATGAGGCACCTAGCAATGCGTATTACTAAATATGTGCACTCTTTTTCCTTCACTAGAACTTTTTCCCACGGGGTTTTTCCTAGTAAGGTTTTAATGAGGCACACTATCTTTTAATGAACATCCAAGGGGGAATGTTATAAATATATTATATTATGGATGTTCATACTCCGTTGTAAATAAGCTTCCTGAAGAAGTTTATCCATATGGGGCTCCGCCGTAAATATGTTTATCTATTTAGTACTCTATTGGAAATAAGCCTCCTGAAGAAGCTTATCACTTCGGTACCCGGTTGTGGATAAATATTACTTCCGGTAGAAGATTATCCATACCTGGTATAATAAGCTTATCCTTTCGATACTCCGTTATGGATAAACACTACCCCCGGTAGAAGATTATCCATACCGGGTATAATGAGCTTATCCTTTCAGTACTCTGTTATGGATAAACATTACTCTTAGTATAAGATTATCCATATCTGGTATAGTAGCAGCTTACACACCAGCTTGTAGTAGCTTACACAACAGCTTGTAGTAGCAGCTTACACAACAGCTTATAGTAGCTTACACAACAGGTTGTAGTAGCACCTTACACAGCAGCTTGCAGTAGCAGCTTACACAACAACTTCCTTTCTTCTATAAATAGAAGAGTTTTCAGTTCATTATGTACAACACTTTGAAATTCGAATAATATATCAGTTTCTCTCTATATTTATCTTTACTTTACGGTCTTTATTTTATAACAAATCAAAGATTGTTGTTCTTGTTCCAATGCAATTTACCCTTCTCAAATCATTCCCACACCCTTCGAGGGTATTAGCCCAACACTGCGGTCTGCCTTGTTCAAGTTTTCTTTTTCAGGAATTTCCTTAAACAAATTAGACTTAGAATTGGAAAGAAAATTGGCACGAATAAAATTTTCATAAAATCACTATACTTTAGAGCCTAATAGCTATAATTTGCTTAATTACCATTCGTAGCTACTGTTTAATTGTTACTAACTTGTATCACTTGTATTCAAACGCGCAACGAATACAAATCAACTATATATACATGGGTATATACAAAGGACGACTGTATTTGTTCGCACAACGAATATAAGTAAAGCGAAATACAGAAAGAGAGAAAAATAAAATGTTCTTGTTGAGAGCTATGAGAGCTTGTTGCTCTCTTATTTCAGTTCAAAAAAATTAATCTCTTATTTCATGAATTTTTTATAAAATTCAAATATAGCTACGAATGATAAATTTGCTGAACATATAGTTACAAATGATAAATACAGTATAAATATTTGATATGTCAAGTAATTTTCCCTAAAATGAAATGGGAGGATTCATATAGGTGGTTCAACTAATTTAGAATAAAGGGGCAGTTGAATTATTGACTTGAGGAATAAATAAATCATGCACTCTAATAAAAGTTCAAACTTAAGGGCATCGAGTCCTAAAGTTCGAAAATTGTGTCCAAATATCCAAATCTTATGTCCTGGATTTCAAATTAGCAGGTTAGAAATTTATGACATTAAGTCTTGAATTTCAAATTAGCATATCAAAAATTTAGGATACTTAATCCTGAAATTTGAGTGAATTGGCTAATCTTTAAATACATCGTAAATTATATATATACTTTAAACGATAGACTTAAAAGTGGCTACTAGTGCAGTTCGCCCTTCCTTTTAGGGTATGGAAGGCCCATTGCATTGTACAGTGGCTTATCTATAAAAAAAAATGCACACTAGATAAACCTTATCCACTAAAGATTCTTGATTTTCAGACATAATTATTTATTTCCCTATGTCTTTCCTTTCTGATTTTTCCTTTAGTTATTACTCCAGTTTTATTAGAGCCCTCCAAATCCTACTGTTTAAACTGTCATTATTTCACAATCAACTACCTTGAGTGGATGCCATAATTTTCTTCAAGCTCAAAAGCCACAATGGAGGCTGCTACTCCATTGTACCACTTCATTTCTTCACATCAGCCATTCACCCAAAAGCAGCCCAGAAGATATTCCACAAATTTTGGCCTTATAAATGTAGCAGAAACACTTCCTGAAACTTCACCCTCAACCTCACCTTCTCCACTTTCTTCATCGCAATTTGATTATGAAAAAGAGTTCCACTCACTAAATTCAGTTAGAGCTATGCATGCCAAGATGATAAAATTGTCTAGAGAACGGGATTCAAAGAGAAATATGCAGTCTTTTATCTCAGCTTACTTGGAATTTGGTGATTTTCAATCAGCTGCTGTGTTATTCTTTGTGGGGTTTGCAGAGAACTATTTGTATTGGAATTCTTTCCTTGAAGAATTTAGTTATTTTGGTGGAAACCCATGTGAAATTCTTGAAGTTTTCAGTGAGTTACATAGTAAAGGAGTGAACTTTAACACTGAAATTCTAGCCTTTGTCTTGAAAATCTGTTCAAAGTTAAGAGACACGTGGCTAGGATTGGAAGTCCATGCTTGTTTGATCAAGAAATGTTTTAATTTAGATGTCTATACACAATGTGCACTAATGAATTTTTATGGGAGGTGTTGTGGGACAGAGAGGGCGAATAAGGTGTTTAAAGAAGCGTTAATCCATGACTCTTTATTGTGGAATGAAGCAATTTTGGTTAATTTAAGGGATGAGAAATGGGCAGAAGGTCTACAAATGTTTTGTGAAATGCAGGCATTACATGTTAAGGCCAATGGCTTAACCATTTCCAAAGTTTTGCAAGCCTGTGGGAAATTGGGAGCTCTTGATGAAGGAAAACAGATTCACGGGTATGTTATCCGATATGAATTAGAATCGAATATACTGATACGTACTGCACTGATCAACATGTATGTGAAAAATGACAAAATCAAAATTGCTAGAGTAGTTTTTGATTTAACAGACAATCGTAATCTGCCTTGTTGGAACAGTATTATTTCGGGGTATATTGCACTTGGTTACCTTGATCATGCGTGGGAGCTATTTAATGAAATGATAACTTCCAACATAAAACCGGATATAATAACCTGGAACTGCCTTTTATCTGGTCATTTTCTTCATGGATCACATCGAGAGGTTTTGGCGATTCTGAGAAGGATGCAAAGTGCTGGTTATCAGCCAAATCGCAACTCTATAACCAGTGTTCTTCAAGCAGTGACTGAATTAGGCTATTTAAATCATGGTAAGGAGATCCATTGCCATGTTATAAGAAATGGACTTGACTATGACCTGCATGTTGCAACTTCACTAGTAGATATGTATGTGAAGAATGATGATTTGACATCTGCTCAAGCTGTTTTCGATTGTATGACAAACAGAAACATTTGTGCTTGGAATTCATTAATTTCTGGTTATTCCTGCAAGGGACATTTTGAAAAAGCTAGTAATCTTTTAAATCAGATGAAGGAAGAAGGTATTAAACCAGATATAGTGACATACAATAGCATGGTTTCTGGTTATTCAGCGTCTAGCTGCATTAAGGAAGCTTTGGGTATGATTAGAAGGATCAAAAGTTGTGGCATGTCTCCTAATGTCATTTCATGGACCTCTTTAATATCAGGTTGTTCACAGCAAGGATATTTTAGAGAAGCATTTGAGTTTTTAATTCAGATGCAGGATGAAGGTATCAAAGTCAACTCAGTTACAATTTCAAGCTTACTTCAAGCATGTGCAGGTCTCTCTTTGTTAGATATTGGGAAAGAGATACACTGCCTGTGTATACGAAACAATTTTATAGGTGATGTGTATGTATCTACCGCTCTCATAGACATGTACAGTAAGTGTGGGAACTTAGAAAATGCTCAGAAGGTTTTCCAAAGACTTGAGTATAAAACATTAGCTTCCTGGAATTCCATGATCACCGGATTTGCCATATACGGCCTTAGCACAGAGGCAATTTCAGTCTTTGATAGAATGAGAGAAGCAAACGTCCAACCAGATGCAATAACTTTTATAGCTCTTCTATCTAGTTGTAAACATTCTGGTTTGCTCGATAAAGGTTGGAAATATTTTGATCATATGAAGACGGATTTTGGAGTTATCCCCACAATTGAGCATTACTCTTGCATGGTTGATCTACTGGGAAGAGCCGGTTACCTTGATGAAGCATTGGATTTTATTCAGTCAATGCCGATGGAGCCAAATGCTGCTGTTTGGGGTGCTCTTCTTACATCATGTCGGATCCATGGAAACGTGGAGCTTGGAGAGATTGCAGCAGAATACCTTTTCAAGTTAGAGCCATATAATGCAGCTAATTATGCCTTAATGATGAACCTCTATGCACTTTCAAACCGATGGAAGGATGTCGATCGTACCAGAGACAAGATGGAAGCAATGGGAGTGAAAATCGGACCGGTATGGAGTTGGGTACAAGTCAATCAGAGGATTCACATCTTCTCTACAGCAGGAAAAACTCATCAAGAAGAAGGAGAGATATACTTTGAACTGTACAAGTTAATATCTGAGATGAAGAAGTTGGGCTATATACCTGATACTAAATGTGTTTGTCAGGACATTGCTGAAGTGGAGAAAGAAAAGGTGCTACTTGCTCACACTGAGAAACTGGCAATTACATATGGATTAATCAGGACCACAAGTCCTGCACCTATTAGGGTGATCAACAATACAAGAATATGCTCAGACTGTCATACAGTTGCAAAATACATGTCATTGCTGAGGAGGCGAGAGATTTTCCTAAAAGATGGCGTCCGCTTTCACCACTTTAAGGATGGTAAATGTTCTTGCTGTGACTTCTGGTAGAGGTACGACTAGCATCTTCTTCTCCTAAAACAGAAAACAGCTCTTGTGTCATAGCAGTTTTGTACATGGTATTTTTTGTAACATATGAAGTTCATAGATGTTTGACATATGAATACAGGGATACTTGGAATCAGTTTAAGTGTTATTATATCTCCTAGCCAGAAAGCTTGGTCACGGTTCAATCTATTGCAAAAAAAAAAAAAAAAAGTTTGAGCCAGTAGTTCTATTTAGACCGAGTACATAATCGTTTTGGTATGATGACTCCCATATTATCTGTCCATATTTTGTTCTCCACTCACTTACTAGCAAAACTTCTAGCATCTAACGAAGAGATCTTAGTGAGTCTTTAAACTATCAAACTATACCAGTCACACGACGGCCCTTGATTCTGAGCAAAAGTCAGCACTGTTTGGAGGCAAAATTGAGCTGCAATCTGTTTATGGAAAACTGAGAAATAACTTTTCAGATTTCTTTCTTCACACCATGTTTGGTTACAAGAAAGAGAAGGGATAGAAGAGGGATAAAGAAGAAAGGAACTCATTGCTGATTTTTTCTCGATATTTAGATCATTGTTTAGTTTGTTTCGTTGTCTAGGTTTTTCTTTTTCTGGGAAGATTTTATAAAATAAGGTCTCATTTTTGTAAGAAACTATTCAAGCCTAGTTCATTAAAAAAATTGTTCGTCAATACATCTCATAAGGTTAAATCTAAAGTTGCAGGGCTGCAACTATCTGGCTCATAAGGAGAGAAACAATGAATCTAATTCTATTGAAATATGTAACAGTAGAAGGGGTAAGAAAACAGGTTACTTAACCATAACACTATCAAGAGATCTCAAAGGAGAATGGAAAAACTAATGTAACATGACGTGATCTATTTAGCAGTTAAACTCTATATTAACCATTAACCTTTACGAGCCCAGAACGAGTCCCTGCATTCCCCTTCTTGAAAGGAAATTCGGATAATTCACTGTCTTTGGAAGCCTAGCATCCTCAATCAGAATGCAATTTTTTCTGGTGAATGGTAAGGCCTGATTATCCTTTGTTTTTCCTCTTCATGGATTAGATTTTCTTTTTTCTTTCTTACTATCATTTTTGCTGATATTACTGCCTGTTGCTACTGCTTTTTTTTTCTTTCCATCTTTTCTTGAGCCGAGGGTCTATCGGAAACAACCTTCTCAAGGTAGAGTACACACACCCTTCTCAAGACCCCACTTATGTGATTACGCTGGGTTTATTGTTGTTGTTGTTATTAATAGTATTGTTTTTGGCAAAGTAACCGGGATGGATGGTTTTGAATTAAGAACGACCAAAATTCTTGAGAAATTTTTCTAGATCCAAGTCCAACTGTTGGAACTGTGATAAATATAGATGATAGTAGTTACATCCACTCTTTGGTCATCATTTTATCTTCTTCACCTATGATACTTTCTCCTAATATATCTTACGACTACACTTTGTAAAATTAATCGTTAATAGCTCATGTAAAACCCACTGAATACCACACCTCCGAGTGGCTCACCTAGGAGGTCTTATGACAATAGCAGACATATTTGTAAATCAATTATTTGACCGTTCGCATTCAAGCAATCTGAGGAAAGATTTTCTATACTCAAGAAATTTAGTGAGTGAAGTTCTCCTATCAGCTTAAGAAGGGTTTTCTCAGGACCTTCCTCAGGTTAAGTGAGTGTAGCTAATCTGCTAATATCTCAATCCCAGAGATCGAATCTGATTATTCCCCTTTGAGAGATATTCTCGTGCCAAGTACGAAGAACTCGGTTCCTCATCTTGGATTGAATTGAATTAAAAGCTATGTGTTGATCTATGAATGAGCCTTCTATTTGATTAATTCTATAAACGTTAAGCTTGTGGTAGAAAATCTAATGCAGGTATGTAGTCTCAGAGCCCGTTTGGATTGGCTTAAAAAAAGTGACTTTTTAGCAGAAATAGCTTTTAAGCCAAAAAGCAATAAGTTGGGGTTGCCCAACTTATTGCTTTTGGCTTGTTTTAAGCAGTTTTTAACTTATTTTAAGCACTTTTTGACTTTGTCAAACACTAAAAAAAGCTAAAAAAAGCTTAAAAGCTGATTTGACCAGCTTAAAAGCCAATCCAAACACCCTCTCATTCTGTCTAATATCGGAGACTATGATTATTGAGCTTGCATAGATAAGGGTGTCCTCAACATTCATACTAGAAATATAAAGTAGAAAAAAATAGCGCTGATGCCAAATTTTCCACACTTTGAACTGTCTATTCTTATTGCAAAGGAAGACAACCTTTGCCAATTTGACAACTGTCTGTGATAGATAGGAACAAGATAAGAGATTTAAGAAAATGGTTGAAGACTACTTTTAATACAGTGTTCCAGTTTCCTCTATTGTAATTCCCTACAAGGCTGGGAACAAAAGTCCTCCTTAATGTCTCATTCCCATCAACCTTTCATTAAGCTGTTGTATTATCCTCAAGACCTAATTCATCTCTCATAGTCAAACTCAGCTCAAATGCTAGAGCTCAACGCCCTGCGACAGCGGGAAAATATCTCTTTTTGAGATCGGAGAGAAGTTGACAGTAGACTGGAAAGTAATGACTACGAAATTGAAAGAGATGTTGTCCTAATTTTACACAACTAGCTTACTATAGCTCAGACAAGGTACATATGTGACATGGACTCTGGTTATGCATATGTACTTGATACGTGCATGTAAATATCCAATTCAGGTACATGTAGTTTTTTGCTAATTTTTAGTTAATCATGAAAAATCAGCACAAAATAATCACTTCAAGGCAATTCAATGAAAAGATAGAGCTAACAATACATCAGAGAATACTACACTATAGGATTTGCAGGTGAAAGTTGGTTGAACTGACATATGGTCATCTACTTGGAAAACCAGCCAGCATCCCCTTAACTTGAGAAATTAACTGAATACAAACTTATCTTCAAACTTTATCTTATTCTAAACTTCACACAGTCATCCAACAAAAAACATTTGCTTTGACAAGGCAAATGTCCTTGTCACTGTGGGTCCAAAGCAGACTTTTTTCTTAACCCCATTGGTGAATATACTCTGTTTGTTCTGATTTATATGTTATTATTGCTATCGCGGCGGCGAGGGGGGATGTAAGTAATCAGCCTCGTTGGCTCGATCCCCTATTTGATGCTTCCCATATGTGTATTTGTTGTTATATGACTTGCGGGGATGATTGGTTTGGTTTCGGGAAGTATTTGTTACGTGGGATCAAAGCATATGAAAGATTATGACACACAAGGGAGGATCATCCATTGCGAGATTTAAGATGGTAAGAAGTTAAAGTTCCTTAGAACAGAAATATATAAGCTAATAGGAGTATTTGTTAGCTGAAATGGTTTCACGGAAGAAGGAACTATGTTTACTTTCTTAGTTTATACCACACAAGTCTGAAATAACAGTGAAAGTCTGAGACACAAAGCAAACATAGACAATACTAATAAAGGAAACTACACTCATATACAAAGCTCTGGAAACAAGCTGCAATACAAACATTCCGTCCATAATTTTTGCAACCTAAAGGTTGCATCTGCCAGATCAAAACAAGTCCACGAGCAACACTTTTCCTACAGAAGTATTTACAGATATGAGAAGAACCTCAGCACCACCTTAAGAACAGCGAAACAAGATAGTAGAGGAAAAACCAAAACCTCGATAGATAAAACTTGCACGACAACAGGGTATAAACCCCATTTATGCATAGAAGTCGAGATAGATTACAAGCAGGAGCAATTTCAAAGAGGCTGATTTTTTTTTTTCATGTCTTGATCTGGTTACTAGACGGCCAGTTTACGCTGATGGGAAGACCTCCACTGTGCATTGCCATTCTCTCTGAGACATCAGCAAGTGATTTCAGGTTGCAATTGATTAGTGCCTTCACAAAGTAGCATGTCTCCTCTTGAGTGTTGCCTTCCGGCACATCCACCATAAATGACTCAATCACCAGTGTCCCTGGTGTACCGTCAAGTATCTCCGGATGGACTGTAATAACTGAAGAATAGTTCTGCAGAAGTAGATAAGAGTAAAACACTAGGTTAGTATGCTTCTTATTAAGACAGGTTAGTGCAAAATGCAAGTGGACGACAAGCTGAAATGAGTAACGACGGATGCAAATTACCCAACATTACAGGACATTGACACTATGGCAGACACAACGACTAATAACCAAACCCACCATAGCAATGCTGATATAGTCTAGAAGATGCAAACAACAAAACATTATTTTAATGACTCCATTAGTTGATTGGTAGATGTGTGTGAAATTCTTTATCACACACTTGTTCATAACCAGTAACTGTTAAAACCACTGAAGGATAATGAAAGATCCTAGAATAGACATTGACAAAGATAAAACACTTAGTACCAATTCATTCCATATCTATAACTTTCTAACCAAGCATTTCAATACACAAGTTTTAAAGATCTTGTTAAGATCCGAATTGGTGGAATAGACAACATTCCAAGAACTGATTTTTTTCCTACTTGGGTGTCCGAGCACGCATTACTCTGCTTATATGCTGGATCCGCGCTACTCAACCCCACCTCAGCTTCTTGCAGAAGTGGAGAGTAACAAGGAAACTATTTTACTGTAGGATACTTCTAAAAAGCAAATGAAATTGCCTAGATTATGCTTGTAGAGAAAACACATACCTTTAGCCTGTGATCACCACCGACGATTCTAATGCCAAGAATGTGCTCTTCGTCATCAAGAAGTTCCAATCTTTCAGTGCTGGTGGTTGCTGGAAGACCTGACTTAACATTCACCTCTCTAACACTTCCAATCCTAAGATCACCCTTCACAGTACACCTACTAACAAATGGCTTATACTTCTGAGGCTGATCGAATCTCCTCACCAGTGACCAAACCTACAAGTAAATCAACAACCATAAAAAGTCAGACTTTAAAACTCAAATGCAAAAACAGAGAAACTCAACATATAGCATATTATAAATACTTGCAAGGAAAAAAAACAAACAAAATGGTCATAAAATTCAATACTTTGATGCATCCCAAAAATCTTAACGTGGATTGAGAAAGGATTTCTTTACAACAAAAGCCTTATGTTTCTTTTTTACCTTTATAATTGTTTCTTCAGTTGTTTATTTACAGAAAACTGCCTCAACCAAGAAAGACGTTATATAAGACTTTCCACAAACATTTAGAAGAAACCACACCAAACAATATTTTTGGTTACAAACTTTCCACAAATAGACACACCTTTTATGAGTAACTCAACTCTTCTACAACAAAAGGAAACAGCGTACCAAAAATTGGTATCCCCATAAAAAAGAGAAGATTAAACAAAAGATATCAGCTTGATAACAAACTAGAAATACCCAATTTCCTATAACTAGAAAGAAACAAAAGAAATTCACCACAGTTACGATATTCATAAAAATCTCCATAAGAGATACTAAGGAACCCAAAAAAATTGAAGAGAAAAGTCTCTTAACATATTCCAAAAGCAAGATTAACCAGAATTCAAGAGAATAAGAGGAGAAAAGACTAGAGATTAAAACAACAACAACAAGCAAAAATTCATAACTTTTATAGACATATTAGGAATAAAGAGATGATATTTACGATATCAACTGGTGCTTTAATGTGCTTAACAATAGAAGAAGAACACTGATGGTCACTAGGCTGATGACTATGATATCTTGCTATAAACTGTGCCTCCATTTTCCTTCAGAATTCACTTCAAATCCCTTAAAAATTCTAGCTTTTTAACACAACTTGAACTTCTACAAAAAGCTTACTGAGTCAAAGAGAAATAAAGATTGAGAAATTGGGGGTGGTTGGTTAATTGGTCTGTGATAAGTCTTGACTTTTAAGTCTATCAAATAACAAGTAGAAAGAGAAAGATCTTTGTGTAAGCTATCATTGTCATATTCCACCGACAAGTAAGCCCACCAATAACAGCCCAATAAGCCCAAAACTTGTTTCTATCCAATGGGCCCACTCTTACATAATTGTACAAAATTAACTAACTTATCTTAAATGTTTATCCATTTTAAGTTAAAACATGAAAATTATTGAGTTCACATTTTTGAATTGTTCTGGTCATGTCAATCCTTTCTATGCAAATTTTGTACTAATGAACTTGACCATACAAGTATTGCCTAAATCAAGATAATACTTTGCTAAATAAAATTTCTAATTTGGTTCTTTTAACATGTTTTTCTCAATAATTTATTGGAGGAGGGAAGTTCATGAGCCAAAGTATCACCTTTTATAAATATTTATACATATTAGCAATTGAAAATATAAAATTCAACTGCAATAATAGCTAGAAGGCCACTAAATTCGAATAGTTTTCGTAATTATTTTTATTTAATTAGTGATTTTCGGACCGCTAAACTATTTTTGCAATATACCAGTAAGTATTGGACAAGATGTATAGATGTTACACACCTAATAAATACGGGTAAAACTTTACACATCCAACATTTCCCAAGTGTGTCTGAGACCCCCCAAACTTGACCAGGCCTTTTAATAATTCATAAGGTATATTACATGCGCTTGACTTACCATTGACCAATCGCCTCCAATTTCTTTGATATCTACTTGCCTTCACGAATACATCCAACGCCTTTTTCTTTTTAAGCAGCCCCAAGATAACACCTTTTAAGTGCGTGTAATATATCCTATGATTATTAAAAGGCATGGTAAAGTTTGGAGGGTCTTAGACACATTTGGAAAAGGTTGGATGCGTAAAGCTTTGTCCGTATTTATTAAGTGCGCAACAAAAATTTAACTAAAAAATTAATAGATAAACTATGCATTTTGGCTAACTATGGCAAGAATACTAACTGAAAAATTGAACTAGGAAAATTGGGAGAATATGATAAAGTTGTTGTTACTAGAAGGTTGGCCATGTGTCCCATATGTATGTAGAGCATAAAAGAGTGGCCATTAAAATGCAATGTGATTTGTGGATTAGAACAACTTCACATTGATAAGTTAAACAATTTTGTCTTTTCGACTGTCTCACTCCCACTGCCATATTCCTTCTCCATCAACTAAGGTTGTGGGGATTTCAGAATATTCCAGCGACCATACAATTTTGTCTTTTTGACTGTTTCTTTTTTACATACCCCTCAAATAAATATTAAATAAAATTTTTTTTCACTATTTTAATCTTATTTATATTTTAAAAATAATAGTATTTTATTTTTATTTAATACTTACTCATGATTAAGGTATTTGTAATCTTCAAGAACAATTAATATTAAGAATAGAACAGAAAAAAAATAATTAATTTATTCTTGAACTTCTAAAATGACAAATAATTTAAGATACTATTTTTAGAAACCACGACAGATAATTTGAGACGGAGGAAGTAATTTGGATCATTCAATCACAAAATTTTAAGAAGATCAATTTAATAATTATAACTTAGTTTTTGATTTCATGTGAAATTTAATGTATGAGTTACTATTGGACATAGTTATCTACTCGGTAACACTTAAATATTGAGCACGTAAATTTGATGTTTAATATTTCGTGCATCGACAGTCAAAGCTGATAATGAGTTCAAGCCTCATCTATATCTCCAACTTGATGTTATTTAACAAAATTTTGAATAGCAATTAATTGAAAAGAGAAAAAGAAAAAGAAATATTACATAAGCAATAGGAGTACTCGGATAAAAGGAATATTTTCCCTTTTAACGAAAACTGATAAAATTATGCCAAAAGCAGAAACAAAATAAAGCCAAAATAGAGGAAACAACAAGGGAAAGGGCAAAGTTAGACGATGAAGATAAGAATCCTGCGGTAGATTTTTCGAATACATCAAAGCACAGGAAACAAACAGTTCAGATTCCAACCCTTAGGGTGTGTTTGGCACGAAGGAAAAGGTTTTCATGGAAAATGTTTGCTTAGAAAATATTTTTTTTTGGAATTTACCATTTATTTTTCCTTGCTTGGTTGGTGAGTGGGATAAAAAACTCGGAAAATATATTTTTTAATGTTGGGTTAGAGAATATAAAATATCTTTCGTAAAATAATTTTTTATGCTACTCTTCTCAATCCACTTTTTTCAAAATCCTCATGTTTCCTGTACTCCTCCCTCCCTCCCCTCCCCTCCTTATTTTTTTCAAGAATTTAATTATTCTTTTTAAAATTCACAAAAACCTAAAGGAACTACATTTTAACACAACAACGTTGACATTTGAGCTCGATAATTAAAAAAATACACTTTATTTTGTTGAAAAAGAAATTATCTTTTCTACAATACGAAAAGAAATTACTTATTTTGTTGAATGAAAGAAAATACTTTTTATACATCGTGAAAAGAAAATATTCAATTTGTTGAAATGAAAAAAAATACTTTTTTCACGTCATGAAAAGAAAATACTCTTTTTGTTGAAATGAAGAAAAATTATTTTTCTACTTCATGAAAAGAAGTACTTGTTTTGTTGGAAAAAAAATACATTTTCTATTTCGGGAAAAGAAAATACTTAGTCTTCTATTAAAAAAAATAAAATTATCATACTTAGGTAAAAACAAAATTGTTTAGCTTCTCAGATGTTTCTGTGCTTCCTTACATATTAATAGGCTTTAGCAATTCCACATCTTTTCTACCAAAAAAAAAAATCACTTAATTCAATATTCTCATGTTGTACATACCGAAGAAGAAAGCAACACAAGCAGTGGGGGAGGCAGGATCTCCATCAAGAGAGTTCAAAAAAAAAAATTGTAGCTAGTGAAAATCGAACCTATGACCTTAGGAAGGTTTTGTACCACTAAGCTTCAATTTTAGGTTGTGTTAAGGGAGTTCAAAACTTAATATATAGAGGTAAGAAACAAATTATTCCTTATATATACGGAGAGAAGCTTTATTGACAGGAAGAAAAGAAGTACAAAGATTGATATAAAGAATAGCTGCATTGGGAAGGTTTATTTCCAAATCATCAGAAAAATGCTTCAGGTACTTTTCAGCTCTAAAAAAGCAAGATCAATTCGAATGGACAGAAGAATGTCAACAGGCGCTTAAAAATTTGAAAGTATATTCGTCAAATCCACCGTTACTCGCAAAACCAAAAGACGGAGAAAAATTACTCATCTACCTTGCTGTCTCAGAAGTGGCGGTAAGTGCGGTGTTAGTTCGAGAAGACCAAGGTAAACAGTCTTCGATTTATTATTTTAGCAAGTCATTATTAAATGCTGAGACTCGGTATCCTCATCTAGAAAAACTTGCACTTGTGTTAATTATGGAATCTAGGAAGTTAAGACCTTATTTTCAATGTCATCCCATCTCTGTAGTAACTGCCTACCCCTTACGTAATATATTGCATAAACAAGAGTTATCAGGTAGATTAGCCAAGTGGGCCATAGAACTGAGTGAATATGACATTACATATCAACCTAGAACTGCAATAAAGTCACAAGTTTTAGCAGATTTTTTGGCAGATTTTAGTCAAGGGATATAACTAGAAGCAGAAAAAGAATTGCAAGTATTTAACGGGTCTAATCCAGGTACTTGGACCTTATTTGCTGATGGTTCATCGAATGTAAAAGGGGCAGGTCTAGGCATTATTTTGGTACCACCCACGGGAGAAACCATACGACAAGCTATAAAATGTCACCCTATTACTAACAATGAGGCAGAATATGAGGTTGTGGTTGCAGGTTTAGAATTGGCACGAGAGCTTGGTATAGAACAGGTTGTAATCAAAAGCGATTCACAGCTCGTAGTTGACCAAATGCTGGGGACTTATACAGCCAGAGAGACAAGGATGCAGCAATACCTTGAAAAGGCACGGGATTTAGTCAGACAATTTAAAACTTGGAAAGTCGTGCAGATACCAAGAGAGGAAAATGCCGAGGCAGACGCCTTAGCTAATCTTGCGTCTGCTGCAGAATAACAAATGACGAAAACACTTCTGTAATTCATCTATTTCACTCAGTACTTGATCAAGACAAAAACGAGGTAAATTTCAATAATCTAACTTGGGATTGGCGAAACGAGATTGTCAATTTTTTGCAGTATGGAATTACCTGAAGATCTCAAGCACTTCGCAAAAAAACTGCTCGATATTGTTTAAAGCAAAGTAATCTTTATCGTAAAATGTTTGGTGGTCCATTAGCAAGATGCCTCGGGCCTTCTCAAACAGAGTATGTGATGAGAGAAATACACGAGGGACATTGTGGAAATCACGCGGGAGGAAGATCTTTAGTGAAAACCATAATTAGAGCCGGCTATTATTGGCCAAAAATGGAAGAAGACGCGGAAAATTTTGTGGCTAAATATGACAAGTGTCAAAGATACGGTAACAACATGCATCGACCTGCTGAGTTATTACATCCGGTCATTGCACCATGGCCTTTTATGAAGTGGGGGATGAATATCGTGGGTCCATTACCGCAAGCCAAAGGCAAGGTAAGATTTTTATTAGTACTCACTGATTATTTTACTAAGTGGGTGGAAGCAGGAGCTTTTAAACAGGTACGAGAAAAAGAGGTCAGGGATTTCATTTGGCGAAACATCATATGCCGATTCGGGGTACCAAAGGAAATCGTATGTGATAATGGCACGCAATTTATAGGCGCACAAATCACAGAATTTTTTTAAAGTTGGCAAATTAAAAGGATTACCTCAACGCCTTACCATTCGGTGGGTAATGGATAAGCTGAATCAACAAATAAAGTCATTATCAACAACTTGAAGAAAAGATTGGAGGAATCTAAAGGCAATTGGCCAGAGGTGCTACCCGGGGTCTTGTGGGCTTATCGAACAACAACAAAAACAAGTACAGGGGAAACGCCGTTCTCACTTGTATATGGAGTTGAGGCTTTAATTCCAGTCGAGATAGGAGAACCAAGTACGAGATATA